CTCTCTCTCTCTCTCTCTCTCTCTCTCTCTCTCTCTCTCTCTCTCTCCATCTACCTACCTACCTATCTTCAAGTACAAACGTCAATTTAATTTGTCTCAATTTAATTAATACTAATGAGATTCAGAGGGAGTTAGAGGTTCAGAGCCAAGAAGTTGATTAGGGAATTCTGGAACTCCCAGGAAAATATTTTTATTGAAATTGTACACAATGGAGAGTCTAAAACAATTTCACATCATGACAAGTGCACCTCACAAAATTGGCATGACCCTGAAAAGAAGTCAACTCAGAAGCCAGACACCTATAAATAAATAATCCATCTATCAAACATTTCTAAGCATAGGGCTTTGAATCCAGAAGGATAGAAAGTATTCAGATAACATTTGGGGCATTCTTATGTAAGTCTCAAACACTCTTTTCTTCCCAGATAGTTCTTACTGAGAATGCAAAACCCAGATTGGTGAGAATTTTATGTAGGTTGAAATACTTTCCCTTTTTCCTGTCTAATGCTTCAAAATATATAGTAATTTGTGAAACTCAACATTGCCAGGGCTGAGAGAAAGACTTGTTTCATGCCTTAAGCAGGACTAGAATTCATGACCTCTGATTATTATCAATTGTTACAATCCCCAAGGAGTTCTAAGTAAAGCTTTTCTGCAAAAGTTTATCTGGTGCAAAATGTGCTGTGAAGTTATTTTATACCAAGGGGTGATGACATTGCTTTGGCTACATGTTCCTGAGAATGTTTCCAAGATTTTTCTTTTTGTCTTCCCCTAAAGCAGTGGTCTCCAACTTTAAGATGGCCTTGCAGACTTCAACTCCCAGAATTCTGCAGCCAATATGGCTCACTGAGTAGTTCTGGGGTTGAAATACACAAGTCTTAAAGGTTGGAGACCCCTGTCCTAGAATAAGACTGCACTTTTTTTTTTCTGGACACCTTTCTGGATCAAGATCAGGTCATGATATCTCTAAATAGGCGAGAACTTTGAGAGGCCATCTGCACATGCTTTGTGTACCTTCATCTCTGCTCCCCTAGGTTCAAGTGCACTCTCCAACATTTGGGGGGAAATGCAGGACTCTGATAGAGCTTTTTCTAATGAATGCATTTTATTAGCAAGTTTTTAATGACTTGGAGAAGTGACTCTTACCTTGTCCCGAATCCCTTGCCTCACAACCTCCCGTTCAGCTTCCATCTTGGCATATTTCGCTTTCCTTTCTTCTTCCTGCTGTCGGAGCGCTTCTTGTCGTTCTTCTTCTTTCTTGGCAGCATCAGGATCCTTCTCCTCCTCTCCTCCCAACATCTTCCCCATGTCTTTGGTAGCCCCTAGTAAAAAAGCAGAAGGCCAAACTTGTTGGTTTGTTATATTGTTCTTGGATTCTTTCATGGAAAAAAGGTAAACTATTGGTTTGGAGTAGCATATAAGCTCCAAGAACCTACATAATAGGTTGTGCAACAATTTGTGCAGACCTTGGTGTGTACATGTATCAGTCTCCTGCGGGAGCTGCATTGGTTGCTGATTTGCTTCCAGGTGCAATTCAAGGTGCTGGTTGTCACCTTTAAAGCACTTCATGGCTTGGGACCAAGTTACCTGACGGACTGTCTCTTGCTGGTCACATCGACCCAACTTACCAGAGTGGGGAGGCAAGGAATGTTGCAGGGCCCATTCCCTAGGGAGATACACCTGGTGGGACTCAAAAGAAGGGCCTTTTCTGTGGTGGCTCCCTCTCTCTGGAACATTATTCCCCCAGAGATTAGATTGTCCCCCACTCTTCTGGAAGACTCTGAAGACCTGGTTCTGCCAGCAGGCCTGGGAAACCCAGAGTGAGATGGAGCCCATTAAATGGCTCATGTGATGTGTTGTTGCTGGGTTGGGGGATGGGCGTTATTTTAGTTTATTATTTTATTATATATGATTCTCTCTTTTATTAGTTTTGTTGTTTTTATATGATTTTTTTTATTCTTGTAAGCCGCCTTGAGTCACCATATGCGAATAGGCGGCAATATAATTATCACAAAACAAACAAATAAATAAACAGATAGATAGATAGATAGATAGATAGATAGATAGATAGATAGATAGATAGA